GGTCGGACACAACTTGATAACCTTGTCAACGAGGAATACTTTCACCTTTAGTTGTTATTAACTGCCATTAAGTTGACTTTGACCTCTTGGACTGGATGGCCTTTGTGGTCTGTTCCAATTCTATGATTCGATAACTCATTTGAAATAGGAGGCTGATAAAAGTGTGAGCATGACAGACTCATGCTGGGGAAGACTGCTTTAATGATAGATATCTGAGATACATTTGTGCTGTCAGACTGAAGTGAAGTCTCTGCATTGCTGGCCATGTACATGTTTGCTTTGAGTTGTGCTGGTGATGTGGGCTTCATCTGCACTGCAGAAATAATCCAGTTTTACACCACTTTAACTCAGTGCTATGGGATTCTGGGAATTGTAGTTTGTTGTGGGGCACCAGAGCTCTGACAGAGAAGGCTACATGTTTCACAAAACTACAGATCCCAGAATTCCATAGCATTGAGTCAGGGGATTTAAACTGGATTAATTCTGCAATGTGGATGCAGCCATGGTTGGCACATTGCCTACTCAGCATTTACTTATTGTCTACTGTAGACCAAAATTGCAATCTAGATATATCAGATGGAGAAAGGGGAGACTTCCCTCCCAGTACAAGAGTTACCAGATAGTAACTGATGAACCATTTGGCAGTTTCCATTTGACTGCCTCATGACTGTTAGTTGGCATGGTGATCTAGCAGGGCACTTCCTCGATTTTGAATGATTAGCACTTGTTTTGGATCACTTAACTGTTCTGTGATTCTGATTATGTACTTTACTTGAAACACATTGACAGATCACAGGGATCCTTGCTTTTAAAAAAGGAAAGAAAATTAGACTATACAGGACTACAGTCTCCCCATTTCTTGCCCAGTGAGTATTTCTGAGGTATTTTTCAAGTGAGAGACTTTCTGGCTCATTCTTTGCACCATTTTAGTGACTTAGGTCCAAAACACATTGCAGAAATTATCCAGTTTGCGACCTCTTTAACTACCCTGGCTCAGTGCTAGGGAATCCTGGGAACTGTAGCTTATTGTGACACCAGAGCTCTCTGACAGAGAAGGCTAAATGTCTCACAAAACAACAGTTCCCAGCATTTCCTAGCATTGAGGCAGGGCAGTTAAAGCAGCCTCAAACTGGATTATTTCTGCAGTGTGTTTTGGACCTTAGTTGCTGCAATAACCAAATTCAGCAATGTGATTTTAAATAAGTTACCAGAGGTTGTATTAAAACTGGGCATATCTCCATTTGTCATAGTTCCTGATCTGGAATATTTCTTTGAATGGATATTTTTTATTCCCACATCACTTTACAATAAATGATGTGTCTTTAGGAGTCCAGTATAAGCCAAACTGGCCCAACCTGCACTGCAACATTAGCATGCCTGAGGTTGTAGTATGTAGTTTGATCAGTTGTGCTTGGATTTCTTCATGAAAAAAGCTATTTTTTAAAAAATTGCAACCTTTACAGCTATATAATTTCTCCTATCTTAAGATGGTGGCTGCATAGCAAGAATGGCCAAACTGAAATTTTATGGTATTATCTTGATTGATAGTGCTTGTCTAGGAACTGCATGAATTGCAAAAAAAAGTCCCCATGACCCCAAAAAAAGGTAAGAGGTGTCTGGAAGGCCACTTTTTATCTTAAAAAATGGATTTGTTCATGTTAAAAAGTGCAAGAAGAAGGCACACTAATCAAAGGGTGAGGTGCTGCTTGTGGAGGCTTCCAGATGATGCATTTCACCTTTTGGGGGGAAGGTAGAAAAAGGGCAGACCAGGGAATCTGGAGAGGTCAAGGGCCACAGCCTTGGGAGCTGTTTGTGATCCAAAGGCCACCCTTGACCCATCCCAATCTAGAGTCTCCTGTAAAAATGGTAACATAAGAATTGTCCTCTTAAATTATATCAAGATCCATGTAATCCAGCATTCATTTTCAAGAAGCTGCTAGCTAGATATTTGTGGGAGCTCAAAGGCAAAGCATTAGGTTGTGATGGACTTCCTGCCTTGATGAATTTTCCCATCTAGCATACTGCCTTAGTTTGTCCAGGCTTCCCAGCCAGTGATGGAGCAATCCTCCAAGAAATGCCAATAAGATCAATTAAATTATATCCACCAAAACAATACAGGACCTATACTGATTAAAGATGAAAGCCATGCAATTAAGACAATACGCTCAATTCTCTTTTAAAAAGCAAGCTTTTCAGTATCTGCGTTTTAATTCATGGGTACTCCCTTGGTTTACTGTTTGATTTTCTCCAGTCTGGATATTTCTTTTCCAGCTTCATTGTGGTCTTGATTTGAAAACAAGACTGTAATTTTTTGTTGTTGGTGTTGTGTGCTTCCAAGTCATGTCTGACTTACGGCGATCCTAAAGCAAACCCATAATGGGATTTTCTTGGCAATTTTTTCCAGAGGGGGTTTGCCGTTGCCGTCCTTTGAGGCAGAGAGAGTGTGGCTTGCCCAAGGTCCTCCAATGGGTTTACATTGCTGAGCTGGGATTCAAACCCTGGTCTCCAGAGTCCCAGTCCAATGTTCAAACCACTATGCTACACGGCTCAGACTGTAAAATACTTTTTGACAATTAACTAAGGTCTGGGGTGTGTATGTGTGTGTGTATGTGTCTTCAAGTCACCTGCCAACTTATGGTGACCCCATGAACATCATAGTGTTTTCTTAGGCACCCTTGATCCACCCCAGTCTAGGATCTCCTGTAAAAAGGAGTTCTCAGAGATGGGTTTGCCAGTTCCGTCCTCTGAAATATAGCTGATAGACAGCTCTTAAAAACTGCTAGTGTATATGGCAGCCAAAATTCATATCTAATGTGTTGATAGATGCTAAATATTGCTGCTTATTGCTAATGTCTAGAATTCTGTATTTTTCTAAAAATGTGGGGATGAGTAATAATTGTGAAAGGGCTGGTTCTGTATCTTTTACCCCTCCTGATGACCATGTGCCTGCAAGTCTCATGGTCATCCTGGAATCTGTGATATTGAGAATCACATGATTCTTAGCTGGCAGTGATATGTTGTACTTTTTCTGTGTGGAAAATAAAGAACGTAGATCATAGTCAAAACAGGATTTATAGATTACAGCTGTTAAACTGTGTTCAAGTACAGTGCAATATTCCCACTGTCCTGAGTAGTCAGACTCTGTGGCACCACCTGTGGACTTTAAGTGCTTCTGATTAGATGGAACACTGGAGCTTTGTGGTACTTACATTTGTTGTCAAGTGTATAAAGATATTGTTACAAGCATCCTGATAACCTTAGTTCAGTCATTGCACTGTTGGAGTGCTTCAGGTTTAGCTTATTGGGCAAAGGCTGTCAGCTCTTTGTCTAAATTCAGATATTCTGAAAATTATATTCTTGATCTATATGAATTCAGAGGCATGCCAGCTCCACCCCATCCCTGGGTAGAACAGAAGAGACTTCCAGTAATCGAGGAGCATTTTTAAAACTCTATAAGCATCCATTGTTGGATGATTAATCATTTTGCAAGTGTATAAGATATACAACTCAGTCCTAGAACCCAGCTGTAGATGTTTTTGCACAACCACTAGCTTACATTTTAGTATATAAAATGCTATTCTGTACTGAACAGTTGGTGTGGAACCAGTAGGCATAACACTGTGTAATCAGGGGCTCCAAACACCTGCTATCAGAAAAGTTGGCATGGAGTGATGAGACCATGTTCCAACAATCATATTAGCCCAGATACAGCTGAACTGCCAGATAATAGGAGTTGTGTTTGGCTCTTAAGACACCAGGGTGCAGCTCACATGACACAGATGTAGCATAATAAGAAAATGAGATGGGTTCAGGATGAAAGGAGCTGACATCCAACACATCTGGAGAACACCAGGTTGAGGCTGGCTACAGTAAAGTGAAGACTCCAGTACAATGTGGAGATTTGAAGACATTGATCTGATGATGTTTTTTATAATATTGGGCTGTCTTCCATGTCCCTGATCCTTTCCTTCTTCCACTGTGGGTGGTTGCCTGTGGCCAGGATATGTTTAAGGGCCCATCTATTTCAGTTATTGCTTTGATCTTGTTGTCCAAAGCATACTGACTTCAGTTCATGGCATCTAGAGAAGAAGTTTAAAATTAAATGAAGTAGCCTTGCATCAGGAATATCTTATTATAGTCACAATAAAAGCTGCATGTTGGGGAAACCAATGACAGATTTCTGCTTGGCTTCTTTCCAGGTCAGAGCTGAGATAGGAAAACTCTGAAGATTGCAACTTTGGACTAATGTTTTGTTCTCCTTGGGAAAGATACCATTGATAGCCGAGTCAGTGCTCATTTGGGTCACCAAACTTCCTCAATATTTCATTTTTAGAAGAACACTGGGTAAGCTGAGATGGAAATTTGGTATAGGAATGGTTTTAAATTTCAGAAAGCAAAGGAGGAGGAACACTGCCTAACATTCAATATTTCTCTCTGATTAGCTGTAATACTATCTTGTTGAGGCAAGAAAATAGATAAACACTGATAGAAACAAATGTCTCAAAATATTGGTCTATGTACTCAATTTTTCCAATGCAGGAGAAGCCTCAGTATGAAATCCAGTACTTGTGTAGCTATGTGATGGGCTGGGGGTATTTTTCTATATCTTCACATCCTTACACTCAATAGCAAAAAGATAGTGAGAACTGAACTATAAAGACCTAGACTTTATTTGGCAATATTAGCTGGATAAAGTGATATGAGAGACATCCTGAAGACTCTGCATAAAGCTGTGTGGCCAGGCCAGAATATGTATTGCCATTTACCATTGAAAGGAGTACTGCAAAAATACTCTCTTTTGAAGAGTACCATTGCTCATAGCTTCATGCATTAATATTCTTCATACAATTTCAGGTATGAGAATGGTGTAGGGCAGCAGTGGGAAAACCGAGGGCCTTCAAATGTTCTGGCCTACAAGTACCGTTAGCTCCACCCAGCACAGACAATGGTAAGGAACTGTGGGAGTTGTAGTCCAAAACATCTGGAGATCCAGTTGTTCCTTATCCCTGATCTAAAGGGTGGTGAAGAATACTTGCGTTTACAGAAAGACAGGTAAACAAATGGTAAATCTCAGTTGACAATTAACACCCTCTTAAAGTGATTGTTACAGAATACAATGATAACACATTCTCTATTGAAGTGTACCATGAATATGTTCTGTATTTCCATATTTGATATATAGCCTTATCCACCCTCACCCCCCACATCACAGTGGGATCTCTAGGCTTATACCTCCCTCTTGCATGTGTTAACTGACCTACTGGGTCAGTCAATTATGTGGCTTCTTGCTTCCCCCTTGTTGTTGCTGGTCTACTGGGTCAGTTATGCCTGTTTCACTCATGTTTCCAACTTGGAAAAGTGAAGAATGCTACTTATGCCCTCTAGTTTGTCTTCAGTATATTTCACTGATAACCCATAGAAATTATTGTGATTTAGGAAGGCAGAAGAGCATAGGTTGATAAACTGTCATCTGTAGCACAAAAAACAATCATCCCATATTCTGGATATCAAGAAAAGTCCAATAGCTGTATAAATCTGATATAAAATATCTTGCCACATATCAGTGGTGTCATACCTCAGTTTAGTTTCTCTTAATCCTTGTTCCAATTCATACCATAATACCAAGACAATTGTGTTAGACGTGGATTGAGAAGGCCTAGATTTAAATCCCTGAATAGATTCAAAGCTTACTTGGGTTATTAAATATCTCTTATCTTTACTTAACAAAGCTGTTGGAAGGATTAAATAATTGGGGGAAGGCTATGAATAAAATATGTTAACATTGCAACAGAAAAATATATGAACTAAGTAAAATGAAACTGCATTACATCTTTTTGGCATGGGTTGGAAAATTTGTGTCCTGTTCAATTGTAATTCCTCACTGTTTTACTCCTGCTGGATTCCTTATCTAGAGCATGCTGCATATTATTGCATATTCTAAGGACATCCTAGGGAACATTGGTTTCTGAAAAGCAGTAGTAGCAGCAACAGCATTTAATAAATACTGTTAACCGTTTAACTATACTAAGAAAATCTCTTGCTATACTACTACTAACAGATACCTTATTTGTTCACACTTCTTAATGATTATCTTTCCTTGTTCTTTAAGGTGCAGAGCATGGAGAATGATGAATTTCCGTCAGAGGATGGGATGGATTGGTGTGGGATTATATCTAATATCAAGCGCAGCTGCATTTTACTATGTCTTCGAAATCAACGAGACTTACAACAGACTAGCACTGGAGCACATTCAGCAGCCTCCTGAAAAAGTTAGAGAAGAAACTACTTGGATGCACTCCTTAAAAACACGGCTGCTGTCTGTACCCTTTTGGCTGTGGACCATTATCTTTTTAATCCCTTACTTACAGATGTTTTTGTTCCTTTACTCCTGTACAAGAGCTGATCCCAAAACAGTGGGATATTGCATCATTCCTATTTGCTTGGCTGTTGTTTGCAATCGTCATCAAACATTTGTGAAGGCCTCCAATCAAATCAGTAGACTGCAACTGATTGACACTTAAATCAATCTGTGCTTTCCCATGGAGTGGTTTTAGATAATCTGAAGATGCTTGGCTGTGTCAGTGAAACATGTGAATGGAAATTGAAATTCTTTTTGTCAATGTTAACTACTGAATAGAACATTTACCTTCTATTTTTTAAATAAGTTGATTCAGTGTATGGATGTGTTCTGTCTGGTGAGATAACTGAACCTTCTCTGAGATTAGAGGATACCATTCTTCATATTTGCCTTATAATGCAGAATTTCTACACTCCACTGGAAGCTTTTGTGAGGAAATGTTTTTGGAAACCTTACTTCACTGTGTCCTCTGCCCCCCCCCCCCCCCCCCCCCCCCCCCCCCCCGTCCTGGGGAGGAGAATCTGAAAATTGACTCTTCTTTTGTTACAATTTGTACAATTTGGAATGATCATACAGATGGCATTTAATACATTGTTGTGCATTCTCCTTCAATAATGTTGCACTCAATAAAACAGGGCTCTATTCATACACACAATTAGAAGAACATTAACTCTGGTATTTTTTTTTCTGTTTCTAATTGTTACTTGGTGGGACTAGTTTTTATGAAATTATTTTTTCATATATGGGCATAAACATTCAGCATATGCGTTGTATAAAAGCTGCTTAAGTGTAGCCTGGCAAAATGTGTGTGAGCAGCGTAGACATTATTTGTCTAGCTAGCTGCATTCTTTGCCCAGTAGCAATTATGACATTTATATGAAACACTGAAAAAGAGCATGCTCAACACCTTGTTTTGCTATGAAGACTTGTTTGTCAGATGAGTAGGAACATGTTAGCATCCTGTTGCTTATTCGCCCATACCTGTACTGAAGCTTGAGTGGTGAAGTCTTAGATAATTGGGAAGAACTACTTGTCCTAGGAGAACAGATAATAGCAAGCTTTATTCTAGAATGTATTGACAAAAAGCCAAATCACAAAATTGCTTTTAATTGCACAGTGCTGAATACATTATTAATTTTTGGGAGTCTTCAGCAGTTGAATGGAGATCTTGATGAACATGTGTCTGTTAT